TTTAGTTCTGTAGATATTTGTAGATTCCATATGTTGCTTTTCAGTGTCTAGGTGCATACCACCGGTTTAGGGGCGTCCCAAAATGTAGCTTACATTTTTGGAGGTTCCGTTCCCGTGTTCTTTTCTGTGTTTTCCACTTTTTCCTCTAGACCTTTCTTCCTTCTCTCCCCGTTCTTTTCTGTATTTCTTTCCTTGGGCCCTAGGGCCCTTACCCGCTTCCTGACGAAGCTGCTCATGAGAATCTGCTGCTGCATTCTACTGCTGGTTTCTTTCTCTCAGTTGCCATTTGACCGTAGAGTCTTTGCATGGAAACTTTCTTGGCTGCTTTTCCCGGATGCATCTTTAGTCTTGTAGTTTTCATATGTTGCCTTTCAATGTCTAGGTACATACCACCGGTTCAGGGGCGTCCCAAAATGTAGCTTACATTTTTGGAGGTTCCGGTTTCTCAACGCCTTTCTGTGTTTTCATCTCTTTTCCTCTAGACCTTTCTTCCTTCTCTTCCCGTTCTTTTCTGTATTTCTTTCTTGCTTCTTAGATACCAGTGGGCCCAGGGCCATTACCCGCTTCCTGACGGAGCCGCTCATGAGAATCTGCTGCTGCATTCTACTGCTGGATTCTGTCTCCTATTTATATGTGCCTCCCCTCTCCCCTCTCGGTTGCCGTAGAGTCTTTGCATGGACTCTTTTCCCGGATGCATCTTTAGTTTTGTAGTTTTCATATGTTGCCTTTCAATGTCTAGGTACATACCACCGGTTTAGGGGCGTCCCAAAATGTAGCTTACATTTTTGGAGGTTCCGGTTTCTCAACGCCTCTCTGTGTTTTCCCCTTTTTCCTCTAGACCTTTCTTCCTTCTCTTCCCGTTCTTTTCTGTAATTCTTTCCTTCTTCTTAGATACCAGTGGGCCCAGGGCCATTTCCCGCTTCCTGACGGAGCTGCTCATGAGAATCTGCTGCTGCATTCTACTGCTGGGTTCTTTCTCCTATTTGTATGTGCCTCCCCTCTCCCCTCTCAGTTGCCGTAGAGTCTTTGCATGGACACTTTCTTGGCTGCTGTTCCCGGATTCATCTTTAGTTTTGTAGTTTTCATATGTTGCCTTTCAATGTCTGGGTACATACCACCGGCTTAGGGGCGTCCCAAAATGTAGCTTACATTTTTGGAGGTTCCGTTTTCTTAACGCCTCTCTGTGTTTTCCCCCTTTTCCTCTAGACCTTTCTTCCTTCTCTTCGTGTTCTTTTCTGCGTTTTCCCCTTTTTCCTCTAGACCTTTCTTCCTTCTCTTCCCGTTATTTTCTGTATTTCTTTCCTTCTTCTTAGATACCAGTGGGCCCTAGGG